TAAATGATGCATGATTTTTTTAGGAATAGGAAAACTAATGTAGAAATATCTTCTATGCTCTTTCTACTTCTTATTAATGTTCCTAACAGTTAAGGACTGCTTAGTTAGGTTGGGCTCCCTGTTTGGCACTGTTGCTAAAGAACAATTAGTAGCCTTTTTTTGTATGTGTTCCTGAGAGGAGGAGAGAGTTCTAAAAAAGTACTGGTTTTGTGCTTTTTGTTTCTCTTGCTGAGCATTGCTGTTTGCCAGCTGTACTGCAGTAGTATTATAGGCAGTGCTGAAATGTTATCATTAAATCCTGATGTTACACATCTGGCAACTTGTTGTAATGTCAACCATTCCATGAATCTATGTAGTCCACCTCTTGATACTTCTATAAATTGACATTAAAACCCGATACTTTGTAAGTTTAAACACAGTAATGCGATACTTAAATCTACCTGTTGTAGCTCTTTGTGAACAATAAATCTGCATGCTTGCTTTAAAGAACATTTTATCTTATGATGCTAATAATTAAAGGAAAGTTGAAACAACAGTTAAAAAAAAACCCAACCAACAAAAGAACTTATTGTGTGTGTTCTAATAATTAATAAGAAATAACTCCTGTTTGGATTCTGCCAGTTCAAGTACAGGATGTGTTTCACTTATGCTAATGTTTGTCCTTGCTCCTACTCTGGTGTGGAAAATGCAAAGCTTTCCAAGTTGGCAGCTTTATTAGTCCTGGATCTTAAAGGCAAATAATTTTTCTGTTATTACTACTTCTTTTGCACACATTCAACGTTTAAGTGCTTGTATTCAAATTATTCAAAGCACAGAAATGCAGAAATGGCTGGGAGAATATGATAACCATAGGAGTCATACAGAACTCTAAAAATTACCTAACATATGAGATTATTTTAAGTATCCATTACTTTTTGATTTGTTTACAGTACATTTGAATATTACTTAGATATTTGTGCTGTTCTTGTACGTTCCAGAATTCCTTTCACTGTTAAGGATAAAACTTAATGACGACAGAAGATAAAATGTGCAGAATCTTTTGCCTCTGGTAAGTGCAAAGCAAACATCTTCACTCTACTAGGTCTCTTTGTTTTTCATTACTACAGAAAAATTAAAATTATTTGTCTTTGCCTCAGGCCTTCAATTGCTCTGTTGGGTTATTAAACACACAGTGGAGAGCGAGTAATGAGTGGTATTGCTTATGTACCTTGTCTGTTTGTTCTTTACAAATAGAAGATTCATTACAATGTTTAAGAGACTTGGGATTTATTGACTTGTCTTTCTTAGGATCTCTTATGCTCATAATTGCTTTCAAGAGTGTTTTCCTGCTCTTTTTTCACCCTCTTTAATCACTGAATCATCTTTTTTTTTTATATACTAACCAGTAGAAATTGAGACTGCTGTCCAGTAAGCTCAGTGCTAACAGCTGGCTTCTTCCAAATTATGAGGAGTATTGAGGGTGTTTACTGAAGTGAGGGAACCTAACATATTGGCTAAGTAGATTTGTGTGCTTTGTTACCTTGAGAGCAATTTGAGTGTTTTAAATGCTGAGTTAAACATTGTATCAGAAATATACAGTTGTTACAAAATGGGAGACAAAAAAAAAATTATTTAAAACGAAGAATTCTTTACTTTTCAACTCCTCTCCTGTCTCTGCAAATAGCTTTTTAAAATTTTTTGTACTACTTCATGTGCTTTGCCAGTGGAATTGAAAAGAAGCTTAGGCTCTGGATTCCTGTGTTATTCACAGGCAAATGTGTAGTTATTAAAGACAAGTGTTATGAGCAAACTGAGTGTGATAACCAGGGGCAAACTTAACCCTCTCACATAAAAAACACATGCCCTTTTTAATTCTGATGTTACTTTCCCATAAAAATACTAAATCTTGAGTATTAGACCATTGATGTACTCTGTTCCAGTTCAGCCATATTGATCTGAGGTTAAGGAGATAATCCTGTGAGCTTTGAGTTTTCCTTGTAGTCTCTTACTTTTCAGGTAAAAATAAGCTTGCAGTATAAACTCAGAAATTACCATAATGCTTGAACTCTAAAATGCTGTGGTTTAATGATAAATACTTATACAATATAATTCTTGCTTCTAAATATATCTGGAAAGAAGACAGAAGCAACTTTTCTGTAGGTGGTAATGTACTTAGAGGCTAATTATATGGTGTAAATAATATGCTTATTGGTCTATATATAAATTAATAACATAATGAAAAAAGATTTAAAACTTTAAGATGTCTAGGAAATCTGTGTTTGGGAGAAGTTGTTTAGAGAAGATGGTGTGATGTGCAGCATTGACAGCTCTTATCCTTCAGAAGGCATGATTCAGATCCCAAACCAGCAAATTATTTTGAATTTTGGGGGGTGTAAGTCATAGGTATGATAATTTATTTTTTTTTGTGAACAGAATTTGACATAAATTTTATGGGCTTCTCCAGTATAAAACTATTAATATAAATTATGTGATGGTATTGGAAAGACATAAAAATACAAAGTTCTTACTTTGTTACTCTCTGAGCCTGGATCTGTGAGAACAGACTTATAAAAACTAAGCTGGTATATGGTAGATTATCTTCAATAGCTGCATAAGAAGGAACAAGTTTACAATTCGCAAATGACTGTTGTTGGTGTTATCTATGAAACAGATGGAAAACAGATTTTTTGTTAAGCTGATTCTGTAAAATGGAGTGTAGCAAATTTGAATATGACTTACATTGCACAGTGACAGAGAACCACATATCAGAGCATACCGACATGTCATTTATTTGTGTATTAATAGGGGGGGGATTCATCCTATACAGCAATGGTTTATTGAAACCAAAGGATAAGAAGTCTTAAAGATAGCATCCTTTATATTGTTTTATACTATTAGATTGAGATAGGTGCTATAAATACTCATTTTCAAAGCATGAATCAACTCAGAAGAAAGGGGTTTGATTTTAAAAGCCTTCCTCCCATTGTAATTACTACTCAATTGTAACAGTGTAATCTCAAATAATGTAAAATCAACTTATCTTTCAGGCTGACATAGATTAGGAATCTTGTTTTAGTAAACAGCCTATAGACCTTGTGAGCAATCATAGGGCTCATACGTAACCTTTGAAATAAGGACACGTAAAAATAAATGGATTTGACTGAGTTTTACTCTGAACAGATATATGGAGACTGACCACACAGGAAGATCAAACTGTAGGTATTTTCAGTATATCCATATGAATTAAGTTGTTCCATTTCAGGCAACGATTTACTCTTAGCTTCTAAGGTGTAGGTGGCAAGATGTTTTTCTTTTTTATTTTTTTTTTTTTACTACTTTTGCTGTTGGTAGGCTTTTATGTAAAGGATTATACTTAAATAGTTTGGAAACTTAAATGTTGTTATGATTATTGATATAAAAGTCTTCTCTTATTTAAAGGCTCAATTGATTTTGAAATAAGGCAAGCCTTTCCTCATTTAGCCAGATTTTGCTGCTAATGCACAGAATTCTTTGTACCAAGTAATAAACAAAACAAAGTGTATTTTAATGACTTAATTCCATGAAGTGTTCACATGACCAACACCTTTTCTCATAAGTCAATGACAGCTCTTTTGGTAACCTCTCTTTGTATTGGCTTGGTAAAAATAGACTGTAATTGTTATAATATGCCATTATAATTTGTATGCACAATGAGAGTCACAGACAAGAGAATCTCATGCATTTTAAGTATGAATCAGTATTTCTGTGATCATTGACACATTTCAGAGTCAGTAACAGTGTTAAGTCCGAGTTTCCTGTGCCACTGTCATCACTATCTATAAATGCAGATGTCTCCTTACAGAAGTTTCAAGAATCATGGTTCTCAGTCACTTTTATTTTCATGTTGGTTGTAGGTTTACTTCTACAGCTTTTATCCACGACAAATCCGTCTTCATGTTAGATAGTTTGATGTCTAAGCTATTACGATAAAAGGTAAAAATGAATTTAAAATACCAAGTAGTGGTTAACGCTGTTGGCTCTTTCCTGGTCAATGTGTGTCTAGGGAACGTATCTGTGCTTATGTACATTCAGTGTTAACAGAGGGTACCAGAGACACGGGTACAACAGAGTGCAAAATCAGGATGCTCCTAGAAATGTATGGATTTAGGATGTGACAATGGAAATATGCTAATGGTACTTAGATATTTCAACAATATAAGAAGTGGTGGTTTTTGCTAAAGCCAAAAAAAGAAAATACTTAACGATAACATCAGCTTCAACTGGGCTGAGCCTGCAAAACCAATACTAGATTCTTTTGCTGAAGATGTCAGCCTGGAAGTGGAATTATGGCTCTAATAGTTGCCACTCATTTCTGAAAGCACAGCTAAGTAACTAAACCCAACATTACACTGAGATGTATAGACACATTATTTTTAAACACACCACACCCAAATTTTCCTTTCAGATTTTTAGGTTCAACGTTAATTTCATGTTGCTTGTAATAAAACAAGCACTGATATTTCTTTTTCCTGCCATTACTATTTATAGAAGCCTATAGAAATGATTATTCCTTTGGGTTTCTCACTCAGGTCTGCTCGAGTGTACTGCTATTGTCACAGTAAGGGCTGGGGCTGCTATTACAGAAACACTGAAAACCTCCCTCCAGGACAGATTTTGCTCTGTATTGGGAATTGGGAGCAGGTGCTAACTAGGCAGGAGTATTTTGCTTTTATTTTTTATTTATGCTAAAGACAAAAAAAAAAAAAAAAAAAAAAAAAAAAAAAAAAAAAAAAAAAAAAAAAAAAAGATTAGAAAGCAAGGAAGGGGGAAAAGCAAAGATCATAGAGCTGGGCTTGGGGATATTGGAAAAATTTATACACAGAAGACATGGGAGCTCACCTATATGCTCCAGGGCTGCCAAAACCCAGTTGTGTTCTGACCATGTAATGAAAAAGTTACAATTAAGACTAAAATATTATTCAGTGCATTTGGGGACTTCTTCAATAGAGCTTTTTCCCTTTTCTCCACAGACTTGGGCTTTGCAGGCTTGCCATTTGTTTTATTTTTACAGCTTTACTGTTCAAAGACAACATAACTTAGGAAAGAATAGGGATCACATTATTTTTATCACATGGACAAATATACCTTAAAAAGAAAATTTAATCATGCAAACCTAGTACTTACAAGAGTTATATGGACAGAAATGACCTGTGTAAAACTACATATTACTTGTTGAAAGAATCTGGAACTAATAGACTGTCACAAATAACATTCTGTATCATACAGGTCATGGTGAGATATTTATTACTGAAATCAATGAGAGGTAAATGAAATCTGTCAAGTAATGTTTTAATTAAATACTCAAAAATTTTCAAGTAAAAATTAACTAGGTTTTTTTTAACACTTATTTTCTGCATGAAGTGCATCTAAAAATAATGCCCATTTTCATTCTTTCAAATTGAAATACATTCTGGGACCAGCACAAAAACAGACACCAGGATACAGCCTTAGGGGTCTGATCTATGAGCTTCTGATGAAATTCTGTCTAGACATCAGACATGGTTAATTTTGAAGTTGGGAAGAGCTGAAGATATTCAATTCCCCCTTTCTTTTTTTGTTCTTTAAACTTCTTACATTCTAAGCATTTGTAAAATAATTCTTTTTCTTTGTCATTCTAATGAAAATCTGTGATAACAGCTGTTGTTCATCTTTTATTTTAAAGACAAGATTTTTCAGTGGCTAAGTTCATACTATTTTTTTGTGTGTACTACAGTCAGCACAACAAACATGGTTTTACATATGTTTGTAAATAAAGGATATGACCAGTGCAAGCTGGTAGGTCATGTTTAGTGAAAGGTTTCCTGTAACAAAAATACCAAAATAAACCCAAACAAACCAGGGAATAAAATGTAGGCTAATGTGGAATTCATATTAAGTATTTTTGGCAAATTGCGATGTATGCAGCAGCCACTGCATGTTGTTCAGAGCTGCTAATATGGACACTGAAACAAGCCTGCTGTACAGGTGCTAGATTTTGATTTAATAAATAATCTGTACAGTATCAAACTATATAAAAAGTTTAAAAACCACAATGAGAATTGTTATATTTTAAAAAATTTTCTGTATTGTAAAAATTTTAAAATTAGGTCCAAACCACCGTTAAAAAAGGTATGAAATGTGCAATTTTGCAAGTGGAAACAAGGGGCACAAGAAGAGTTACATAAAGATTAATAAGAGTTGCTTTGCAATTTCTCTTTTTTTCCAATATCTTCTTACACCTGGTAATCAGACCTCAGAGCAGTTCTCTTCAGGCAAGTAGGACATGAGCTAAAAGTATCATCACTGATTTCAGTAGGGAAGATTGGCTGCAATAAGGAGTAATAAGCTATTTTAAGAGACAAATGTACTTTACAGTCTATTTATGTAAATACTTGGAAAACGCAGGAACAAAATTGCTTTCTAACTACAGAGCTGTGAAATCAGTGAGCCATATGGATCTATATTATATAGCAGAATATTTTAAAATCCTAAACCTTCTTGAAAGAAAACTGTTGTAAAAGTCTACATCTAGAATAACATGAGTACTTGTGTTTTAACCAAAAGCTGCAGAGATTATATATTTCCAAATGTACTAAAATTAATATAACTGAATATTTTTAAAAGGCAGTAATCCTTTACACTTATTTCTCACAAAGCATAGAGTGAGGAACTGATGATTAAAGGCAATATAAACGGTAGGCAAGATGAAACAGATGGCTGTAACGTAATTCTTGAGTCTTAACTGGCACTTAACACTAACTCTACTTTCAATTTGACAAATACAATAAGACACCTATGTTGACATACCCGTGGTGCACTTAACTACTTTTATTTATGTAACTGAGGTATTAAAATTGTCTTGAAAAGCAGACGTCTAAAGAGAAAATGATATGAGGAAGAGAATAGTAGTCATTGTTTCCAGTGTTCAATGATTAGCAGTTGTGGGATTTTTTTTTTCTTCCAATATCCTTAACTTCTAATTTCCATGCAAAGTCTCTGTCTTACTGCTCCACTAGATAGGTAGCTTGGAAAGATCGGAGGAAATCCACCGTTTTTCAGCAAGAATTAGTTATGAAGACTTTCTTTTTTTTTAAAATGAAGTATAATAAGCTAAAAGTGTGTGCATCTCACACGCTGCATATAGTACACTTTTAATATATACACTGTCATTATACACGAGCATCTTGTATATACACTGATACCACTTTCACTAGGAAATTAAAAGTCAATTGATAATGAACCTTGTGCTGTATCTTCTCTTCCTCTAACATAGATTTCACACGGAATCTCCTCCATCACCCTGTCTTCTATGACTTGCTCAGGGCAGTCATGCCCTTGTTTGAAAGTGTAACTACTTTTCTTGAATGTGCTATTAAATGTTTTCATTGGCTGAGGCTGCGCAAAATCATTGCGAAAGGGAAGCTCCATGGAGCTGAGGTTTGTCCTGCTTTGTTTTATATTAGAGGCCTGGGAGCCACAGTGGTGGTCATGAATGCATCTGGAAGCTGTTGAAGGGCGTCTCATCTTCTGGTAGTTTTCAAGTTCTTCTGATAAATCTGCCAGATCTGCAGAAATTTCTTTGTCCCTTAGTGAAAATAGTTCATAATGTGGAGGATCAAATACTTCCTGGAAACCAGTTTTATTGAAAGCAGTCTTGCAAGCCATAACCTTTTTGCGAGGTTGCTTTACTTGTACTAGAATTGAAATGATGAGAAGAACTAAAACTATCCCTGATGTGATGCCAATGATTGTTCCATGAGTTTTGGTGATTTGTTCAAACAGTCCAGCTTTTTTCTTTTCTGCGAAGAAAAATGAGGATTATGACAAGGCTTTCATTATTTTCCACACTTTTGATCATCTATTAAAACAAAGCAAGCTGTATTGTATTGCCACTTAAGTGCTGTATTAGTGGAAGGACTTGATGGCACTGGAGATTAGACCTGTATGTCAATGAGATTTACCATACTGGGTCTCTGCATTCATTCAGCAAGTCTGATTCCCAGCCTGCATCAGTGGCTACTGTATGATAATTCAGTGGCTGGTAGAGCTCTGTGGTTGGGGGATGTTGACTCAGCTGGGAATGTGGCTTCAATCCTGAACCTTTACTGACCAGTTCACATTCCAAAATCCAAGCGTTAACCAGAGTTTATACAGCTACAGACAGGGCTTCTCTCACCATGCTTTGCTCCTGCTGGTAACATTCCCATTGACACCAGTAGAAGAAAACCTATATTTAAGATTATCTAGTTCTTTGAAAGTGGAGTATCATAGTTATGATGTAAGATTAACTGTACTATTTGTTTTCATATCTCTTGGAAATTCAGTGTGTCTATTGTGCACGTCTGGTATACCCATTTCAACAGCTTTAGCATAAATATATGCCAGTTTTAACAGTCCAGTTACCAAGTCTGTTGGGGGG